ACAACGTCGGCGACCATATTTGATGACGTCATAGTGGAATAACCTACCTCATGGCGAGTGTCCACCCAAGTTCAAAATACCTACTTCCACACCCACTAAACATTTCTTCAAAATAATTCTCCCTACTCAAACTTTCCTACATAACTATAGTCAAATTCTGGATTATAAATACGTTTATAGGATGTCCCTTTGTATAATTTCTGGCGCGGTTCCCTCTTGTCAGATGCAGGACGGAGGGCCTGGCAAGGAGAGCTACCTAGTCGTTCGGACGGGACGAAAAACCAAGGTCCCAAGTACACATTGGCGTGCATGTAAAAGATCCCTTGACAGTTGGAATTCGATATAAGAGTAGGCCGTAGTGGCGTTTTCGGGTCCAAATTGCCCTCATAGCACATTGTATGGGTTATGCCCGTCTTCATTACCCCGGTTCGGAGCAAAAGAGTAGGACGTTAAACCCCATTTCATTTCATTTACTTTCCACTCGATGCTGTACAAAGTCTAAAACTGGCCGGAAACTTGGCAAGGGGAGTGTGTGTGTGTGTGTGGGGGGGGGGGATACTTCTTCGGACTATAATCACGTAATGAAAACATTTTTCCAAGGGATCACTTTTACATGTCAGTGCTAGAAATTTTAATATGATGTTTAACGCATAACGTGATCATCAACATTCAGTAATTAAATGGCTAATATATTTTAATGCAATTAAAGAAGCTAAATCGCTAATATTTGGGACCTAGAAATTTGTCCAAATGGGTCGCAATGCATATAATAATGTCATCTGATTGTATATGAACTGATTTACATTCAATTGTTTCCGTTTTGACTCTAATATCAAATCAATTATGTCCGGCGAAATACGGCATGAGTCTCAACCGAATAGAAATTTCTAGCGTCTGATTATTCCAGTCTATTGCGCATGCTATCCAGATAAGTTATGGCGTCGCCGTTTGACATGAGTTGTGGAATATGTCTAGCCTGGTTCTTTCTGGTCACTTGTTACAAATGACGATGAAACGCACTATGGTACACGATTCGTGTACCAATGATAAAATGTTTATTTTGTCTTAAATATTGGATATCAGAAGCCAACCTTTTCCCGGTAAGATCACAACATCAATGTTGATTTGAATTGACAAATAATTCGTATTTTCAACGTGTAAGACTTTGGATGATATTGAGTTAGAGACTTAGCTACTTTAAAATCACTGTTTGTAATTTTCACAAAATGAGGCATTCATTATTACCGTACTACTTTTAAATTCAATCATTAAAAGGACGAATCGTTCTAATCTACTTAAAATCGCAGTCACCCGATGGCCCAGAGAGTTGATTTAAATAATATATAGTTTATATATTTAAAGCCTAAATAAATACCTGCAATGTAAATTTAGCATTTTACGTATTTAAAGTTACAATTTCATATTTTCTAAGAAAGTCAAAACATAATTATTTCTATGTCTTTTGCTCAATAGGTTGTCAACTCACTATTATACGATCATAGGTGTCATTCTCACACTTAAAACTCATTTACACCGGAAATAATAACACAATTACCTCCCAATTACCTCCCTTGTTTTCTATTCTCCACCATGGAGTAGCTATCTTCAAACGTTTGAATTTGAAGAGGAAAATGATATTTTTGCCAATTTCTCAACTGGCAATAGTGAATTATAGGATTAATAGGATTATTTTTTTAACAAGGTAGGACTGTTTATAGATACCATCTATTTTAGGGCTTTATTTTAATAAATTTTAAAAATATAACCTAAAAATATGAAATTGTAACTTAAACATATTTAATATTATTATTGTTTACAGTGGTCGATCCTAGTAGGAGGAACGGGGGAGGGGCTAGTAGGAGGAACGGGGGAGGGGCTATATTGTTTACAGTGGTCGATCCTAGTAGGAGGAACGGGGGAGGGGCTATATTGTTTACAGTGGTCGATCCTAGTAGGAGGAACGGGGGAGGGGCTATTATAAATTATTCTTTGATAATCGGGCTATTTCGCGAGAGTATTTATGGCGCTCTACACATAACCCACTATATGATCGTCTGCTAATTTCGTCAATGCCACAATATTTATTTTGAAATTTATATTCTGTCATTAAGAGATGTACAGTTGGGGGTGTAGCTGATGGAATTGAATGTTTTATTGGAGTCCAGATATACGAAACAAATTATCATTGCAACCCCTAGGTTTTAAAATATTCTCGGAGGAGAGTCCCCCCCCACCCCCACCCCACCCAGTCTCTCCATAACCAAATATCCCATATCTGCCACCGATGGTCTTTTTCCCCTCCGCACATGGCGCCTTTCATATTTTGTGACTAAATTAATAATCAATTCAATATCAACATATTTTCAAACATAGAAAATAATATTGTTATCTACATTTTCGTCTAGGAAAATAATATTGTTATCTACATTTTCGTCTAGGAATTTCTTTGACTTCACGTCGTGGTGATATGATCAATTAACTCTGGAACACTTTTAACGTTAACTATGTTTTTATATCTTTACTAGCAGGATACCCGGCTTCGCTCGAGGGTCATAACTCCGAAACCGGAAGTGGTAGACTAACGCCACCTGGCCTATGTTACTCCCCGGTCCGAGCTACCCCTATATCCCAAATTTCAGACTCGGGGCAGACCTAGTGTAGCCGCCAACCCCGAACAGACCGGCTTCGCTCGGGGGTCATAACTCCGAAACCGGAAGTGGTAGACTAACACCACCTGGCCTATGTTACTCCTCGGTCCGAGCTACCCCTATACCCCAAATTTCAGACTCGGGGCAGACCTAGTGTAGCCGCCAACCCCGAACAGACCGGCTTCGCTCGGGGGTCATAACTCCGAAACCGGAAGTGGTAGTCTAACACCACCTGGCCTATGTTACTCCCCGGTCCGAGCTTCCCCGATACCCCAAATTTCAGACACGGGGCAGATGTAGCCGCCAACCCCGAACAGACAGACTTCGCTCGGGGGTCATAACTCCGAAACCGGAAGTGGTAGTCTAACACCACCTGGCCTATGTTACTCCCCGGTCCGAGCTACCCCGATACCCCAAATTTCAGACTCGGGGCAGACCTAGTGTAGCCGCCAACCCCGAACAGACGGGCTTCGCTCGGGGGTCATAACTTCGAAACCGGAAGTGGTAGTCTAACACCACCTGGCCTATGTTACTCCCCGGTCCGAGCTACCCCAATACCCCAAATTTCAGACTCGGGGCAGATGTAGCCGCCAACCCCGAACAGACAGACAGACAGACAGACAGACGACAGTCACAAATTAATATATAGATAACATCCATATAGTAAACTACACACACAGCTATGGCATTAAATATAAGCTAAATATAAGTTCTCTTTTCCTAGCTTGTGTTTACTAGATTACGATTAACATCATTCTCTTTACCCCACCAGTTCGCAGGTGACGGAGACCCGACAACATCATATGTCTCTCCGACTTAACGGGGTGGTCTAATCCAAGTGGTGTATAAATCATGTCCGAATGATGTTTGTTTCCCAGCCTCTCAGCCTAGGAGGCTGTGGATATGATGTTACCCAGTCAAACAACGAGTCAGTCGTCATGCGTTTTTCTGCTGTTCTAGCAGCTTCAAAAATGTCCAATGCTTTTGTAACCGAAATCCCACTCTATGTCGACCTGAATTCCAACCATCCAATCAGACTCTTGCAGCTGCATTCACAAATAATAATCGATGCCCGAAAAATATCGCACAAAGTAGAGTGGCTCCAGACAAAATGTTTTAACCCATAGTCAATTTAGTACATATTCGTGGTATTCAATTAAAAGAAAGGTAAAATTAGTGTTTTATAAGATTTCGGGCACTTTATTTTGCCAACTACATAGATGAAATAATATTTTTATTTTCACAAGACCCATCTTCCCGAAAAGTCAGATTGCCCGAAAGTTAGACGGCAGTTGTGCAACCATGACAACGCAGGTATGAGGAAGTGCCGAAATAAACAAGCCGGTTACATCATGGACCTATATATACGGCCTACACTGATCAGCTGTGAATATTCGCTAAGCCGCTACAATCACTGATAAGGATGAAATTGATGCGACTTAATGAGCTAAAAATATTAACTTTTTTTCCTCCGACAAATTAAATTCTAAAACATTTTTTGAAGTATTTATAGGTCAAAATTATTTCCTATTTAGTGTAAATGGGTATTAAAATGAGTAAAAGGCAGCATTCTGCCCGATTCAGTAACGTCTTATGTAAACAATGCACGCGCCATTGAGCCAATGATTGACGTCGCGGTATGTGACGTCACGTGTTGAAGGCAGTCATCTATTACAGAGGTCCATGGTCATATCGATAGGCTGGTCAATTAAACATCCCTAAAAAATAAACACACCTTTCAGGGTTTTTTTAACAAAGCCCCCGCCCCCAAACATACACACTTTAAAAAAAAACAATATGTTGTCTATTCAAATAGTTTTAGTTGTTAAATTGAGTAGGAAAGTCAATGGGAAAATAATAGCAATCGCGGGCCACTTGGCCCTCTTCTTTTTTTTGGGACACAGATCACCAAATATTCCTACGAGGGCGAAAGTTATTTTTAGTCTCTCTCTCCCTTTCCCTTTTTCCCCCTTTTGCATGGCGATTTTTGTTGACTTTTTGGTGTAGAATCGAAAAAAAGGGTTTGAAAATACATTTTCTGCCAGGTTTTGGTGAATATTCATGATTTTGAGGCGGAAGAACACAAGAGATGCGAGGTTGGTTACGTTGAAATGTAGGGCCGGAAATTGCATGTTTAATTGTCTCTACTTCCAGCTTGTGTATCTCAAGTTTTTCATGGGGAACCTCATACATGCTTTTGGGCAAAAGTTTGCCACATGTTGCTCCATCTGTGGCAGAAAGGGTTCTATCAACGAACATTTGGGAAAAAGTTAGATCAGGTCTAAGAGACGAGAATTAACATTAAATTAAATGGGGAAATAATTAGTGATCTGTTGCCCTTTACAGCTTCCTGAAGATTTGAGAGTGATCTCCCTTGCATAAATAGTTCAGGAAATTCGTCTGTTTGTTGAAATGGAGTTAATATTTCATGAAAAGGTAACTTATTTCTGTGAATTATAGAGTGAATATTCACCGTTAGTTCTGAACAGACTCAGACACCCTCGCAGACTGATTTGAATATTTATTAGTTTTAAATAAGAATTTATAACCGACGTGTGATCGAGTGACTCATAAATAATATTTCCTGTTTTTAAAATCAAGTTTTAATTCAATTCCTGGGCTGTAGACTACCTGTCTTTCTGTATTTAAAAAAAAAATAATGTTTCATTCCATGTCCGACAGACATGTTGTAGATTTACACATACAAATGGTTGTCACAAACAAGTTCATGTGTTTTATAACTATGATTTGAACCCATCAATTTTACCTTGCAAATTAAAATGTAAAAATGTATATCGAATTCCAACTGTCAAGGGATCTTTTACGTGCATGCCAATATGTAAGTTTTTTGTCCCATCCAAACAACTAGACAGCTGTCTTTGTCAAGCCTCCACCTGCCTCCGCTATTATTCAACTCCCAAGAAGTTGACAAGTGTAGTCCTACCTGGTGTACAAAATTAGAAATACAAGTCAAGTAAAGCCTAAAATTATTTGTCTCTCCGTATCACCAGGGTTAATAAACGTTTATTTTGATCTGTTTTCAGCAAGAAGGCTCCTTGTGTGCACAGCATTGTTTAAATGCATTGCTCCAAAATCAGTACTTCTCTGCGGTAGATTTAGCTCAAATAGCTGAAAGACTGGATGTTAGAGAAAGAGAATTTATGGCAGAAGGTGGTGTACACACGCAAGAATATCAGCAGTTTTTACAGGTGAGCCTTGAAAGTAGGCTTAGATCAATCTTTTGAGAGGGGTTCACTAGTTCGCGGGTGCACTGGTCTGCCGCTATAAGAAATACTACAAATATGGGTATCAATAACCTTAACACTCTCCCTAAATTATAATAGATATTGGTGGTCTAATGAACTCTAACCCTAACCCAACCCTAAAGCTAATAATAGATATTGGTGGACTAATGGGCTAGTGAACCCGCGGACTAGTGAACATTCTCCAATATTTTCCACAGAGGTTTTGCAAAACTGCCATCTTGAAAAATGCCCAATAATGACTCAGCGGTAACACTTTTCACCAAAATGTGTTTTGAAATGGATTCAGTTACCCTGAAAATGTATATTTTGATACCAAACTCGATCATATTATGATAATTAGGTGAAATCGGAATTTACAAGCCAAAATCGGTGGCCATTTTGGATTTTGGCCAATTTGACCCATTTGCGCACTGATTTCGGACTGGGACTATTTTTTTGGTGATAATATACGTCTAGGCCGACCATAAACCGTGGTCGGCATTTCTATTGCAACAACTGCCCGCACTTATGCTATCTTCCCTAGACTAGTAGATGACTGACTTTTATAAGTTCAGTTGAATCCTACATGTGATGTCCCATCACGAGGCAGCTATCATCGGCTTTGAAACTTTATAAGACTGTTGTTAGGAGCAACTGCAACTCAGCGAGTGAGGCTCTGGACTTTATCCAGGAATTCCCAGATTCGATCCCAGTGTTGGTTAACAAAGTTTTCTCGGGATTTTTCAACATGGTTAGCCAAGTCAAAGATGCATGACGTTCGGATGGGTTGGAAAAACCAAGATCCCATTTCACATGTACACGTTGGCATGCATGTTAAAGAACCATTGACAGTTCGAATTCAATGAAGCGTAAGCAGCAATGCAGCTATCCATGCAAAATTTTGTGCATAAAACATTGCATTCCGTATGTCCATTTTTATTAGCCTGGTTGGAAGTTAACTCCCATTACCGGTACATGTAATTTTTGTAAATTTACTGTATTTTAATTTTTGTAATTTTACTGTATTTGATATTGACAGCAACCCTTCAGTAATTTTACTGTATTTGATATTGACAGCAACCCTCCAGTAATTTTACTGTATTTGACAGCAAGCATCTAGTAATTTTACTGTATTTGATATTAACAGCAACCATCCAGTAATTTTACTGTATTTGATATTGACAGCAACCATCCAGTAATTTTGATGATAGTGGTTTCTTCTCTGTACAAGTTATATCCGATGCCCTAACTGTCTGGGGTTTAGAGATGATACCATACAACAGTCAAACAGAACATGCTAATCAAGCAAGAATAAATCCCAAGTAAGTCCTTTCCCCCTCAAAGTAAATCCCCCCCCCCACTCCCTCATAACTTAGTCAAATTACAGTAAAAACAGAAACGATTGAATGTAAATCAGTTTATATACATTCATAATACATTATTACATGTATTGTGGCCCATTAGTGTCAATTTCTAGATCCCAAATATTAGATATTAGCTTCTTTAGATAACTATGATTTCCAAACTTAAAATAGGGTGATCTGTCAGGTAATTTCTCTAGCCGGATAATTTCACTCCCAGTCAGCTGAGACGGGTGCCGAGAGCTCTGGAACTGTTGACTTCGCTGCTCTTGGGTATATCTATTGCTATGTAAAACTTTATTTTCTATTTTAGTAATGAACGAGCATTTATTTGTAATTTTCAACAACATTGGTTTGCTGTTAGAAAGTTGGGTCATCAATGGTTTAATTTAAATTCTTTGTTAACTGGTCCAGAACTTATATCCGATACGTATCTTTCTTTATTTTTAACACAGTTACAACAGGAAGGTAAGTTATTATCTATATGTGAGATATCTGTTCAACTGCCCAGACAGAATCCTGAGGTGGGATACAGACAGGTGCTACCTTCACACCCTCCCCTTTTTTGTTGTCGAAGGAAATGAAATGGAATGGGGTTTAACATCCTACTGTTCTGCTCCGATGGGCATATGCCATACAGTCTGCTATCAGGGAAAATTTGTGTGTACAGAGGCGCTATGGCCTATTCTTATATTGAATTCCTACTGCCATGCCAATATGTACACAGGACCTTGGTTCTCCGTGTCATCTGAACAACTATACATTGTCTCTTGTCAGACGGGGGGGGGGGGGGGGGGATGGCCGAATGGTTAGCATATGCACGCTGTATCAGAAGGTCTGTCATTGAGTCAACTGGCGTGGATTCGATTCCCCGGTTGTATGTGACAAGGAGTAGGGTCACCTGTCCAACCTTGTGGGTTTTCTCAGGGTCCTCCAGTTTCCTCCCACTGCTAAAGATCCCTGCTCGCAAGTGAATTATTGAAATAAAATTGAACCATGTGTTAGTCTCTCTCTCTCCCGGTTGCTTTGCTTGTTGCTTTGCTTAAAAGCTTTTAGTTTCAAATTCTCTGATCATGAAATGACTTAGTTTTTGTTGAGAGGACATTAAACGCCTATTTCTCTCTGTTTTTGTTGTTAAACTGCAGGTTACTCCATATTTATTATAACAGGTGTTTTTGTTGTAAACTGCAGGTTACTCCATATTTATTATAAAAGGAAGAATACCTGAATGTGAAGCTGATCAATTATTAAAAATAGTACCAGCAGTTCAGACTATTAGACCTAGTCTACTAGAAGACCCTAACGCCCAGACTAGTAAAGGAAGTAGCACTGGTGAACTACAGACTGCATTAGAAGAAAGTCGTCATGCATCTGATATTGACGATGTCACTTTACAAAAGGCCTTAAAAATGAGCATGCAAGGTATGTATAGGCCTATAACACTAATATTATTTAAACTGCATGATGGCTTATACCTGTTTTCATTAGCACTGTAGGAGAAACAATTTGGAGGGTTCATGAAGTCAAGGGTGTCTATAGAGAAAAAGTAATGAAACAAACGAAAGCCAGGGGAATTCGACAAGTGTAGCTTTTAGAAGATAGTAGTGATTAGCAAGACTTTGTTGCTTGTTGTAAGGGGTCCCCAAATCATAATAGTTCAAGGGTCCTCCAATTGTAGGTTCGCCACTGCCCATGTTAGAGTTTATCAAAGATTTATATAAAATGTGGTGGCACACCCTAATATGGAAAATCTGATGTCACAAGTCCAAGATGGCTATGATGATGTCATAATCAGTTCCTGGCCATAGTACCCATGTACTTGTTTTTTTCTAAATTACCATGACGACAAAACTATTTTATTGATGGATATTGCAAATGTTAATACTCGCATTGGTTTATGTTAATAAAACAGGTTACCATGATGATGAAGCTATTTTACAGTCCGCTATAGCACAGAGCATGGAATGTGAAAATCCCCCAGCAGCAGAAATATCAACACCATCAGCAGAGGAAGTTCGTCAAAAACGTCTGGAATTTTTTAACAAACAACAATCCAATACACCGAGTACTCCCAGTACGAGTACATCGAGTACAGTCGATATATCCTCACCTCAAGGTTAGACCTAACACACAATTTATACACATCGAGTACAGTCAATATATCGTCACCTCAAGGTTAAACCTAATACACAATTTATACACATCGAGTACAGTCAATAGATCCTCACCTCTAGGTTAAACCTAATACACAATTTATACACATCGAGTACAGTCGATATATCCTCACCTCTAGGTTAAACCTAATACTCAATTCATACACATCGAGTACAGTCGATATATCCTCACCTCTAGGTTAGACCTAACACACAATTTAAACGCTCTGAGTATGAGTACATCGGTGTGCACTGTATCATAAGGCCTGTCATTGAGTCCATTGGCGTGGTTTGTACCCTCGTGGGGTTTCTCCGGTTTCCTCCCACTGCGAATTATTGAAATAAAATTGAACCATATGTTAATCTCAAAATGACCTAGTTTGTGTCGAGTGGACATTAAACCCCATTTCTCTCTCTCTAAGAGTACATCAAGTACTGTCGATCATCACCTCAAAATTAGACGTAATACACAATTTAAACAGAAATGAAATGGGGTTTAACATCCTACAAGCATTCGGATTAAAATACAGATCTATAATTCGTTCCATCCTCGTGAATTTTCTCTGCGTTCCTCCACTGTTAAAGTCCTCTACGCACAAGAAAATTATTGAAATAAAATTGTAACACGTTTTAATCCTGAAATGACCTTATTTGTGATGAGTGGAAGTTAAACCCAATCTTTCTCTTGTCTCTGTGCACAAGCAAATTATGGAAATAAAATTGAACCATATGTTAGTCCCAAAATGACCAAGTTTGTGACAAGTGAAGGTTAAACATCATCCCTTTCTCCCCTCTCTCTCTCGTTTCCTCCCACTGCTAAAGACCCCTACGCACAAGCGAATTATGTAAATAAAATTAAACCATATGTTAGTCCCGAAATGACCTAGTTTGTGTCGAGTGGACGTTAAACCCCATTTCTCTCTCTGTCTCTCTAATTATCTCTAATTAATATTTCAGATGATGACACCGAAGAAGAAATGTTGAAACAAGCTTTAGAGATGTCAATGCAACAAGGAAATACATAGTATCGAGTAGTTAACTAGTTACATCATGTAATATATCATTTTATTTATACCTGAATACTGTGATCAAAATATACAATATCCATTTAGTCTGCTCACAGAGAACTATCTACAGTATTTTCATAATTCATCTCTTTCCACAATGGCCACCATATTGAAAGATGAGTGTAGGCCACTGATAAATTATGAAATGAAATGAAATGGGGTTTAATGTCCTACTGTTTGATAAAAAAGACTAAATAAACATTTTCAATTTCATTAGGCCACGCAATAAAAAATTCCTGGTTCTCAATACTCAAAAAATGGTTTTTTTAGATTTTAAATCTATTAAATTGAAAATAGTACAAGTAGTTAGGCAATGTCATAAACAAGGGAAAACTAAAATTCAAAAAATGTTGTTGCCAGGGTAACACATTTTTTGGGAAAATTTATGAAAAACGTAGGTGCACCTTATCCTTGGCACTAATAAAGTTCATTTTTGGATTGCTTATTCTTTAATGATAACCCTAAAACCAGACGAGAGAGTTTCTATATAATTTTTATAGTTTCTTGGAAAATGGTGTTTAAAATATTTGCCTCACCACAATATTTTGTCTTTGAAGAAATATTTTGATAACTTTTGAAATATTAATGATAATTGAAATTGCTTTCTGTGGTAGATATTTGTTTATATATCCTGAAAATTTGGTGGACATATCTTAATTAGTTACAGAGATGAGGTGTACATGTATCTATGTTTTTCATACTTTTTCCCCAAAAAATGTGTTACCTTGGCAACAACTTTTTTTGAATTTTAGTTTTCCATCGTTTATTACATTTCCTAACTACTTGTACCATTTGCAATTTAATAGCTTTAAAATTTAAAAAAAGCATTTAAAGTCTGAGGTTACGCTGGCAAAAGAAAAACTCAAAGGAAGAAATACATGGTTAAAATGGCTTTCTTTTAGGGTTTCTTTTTTGAGTTTCTCCCGTCACCCAGCGTAACAGGACCAGGACTTCCTTAAACATAAAACAGCTGATCTAAATCTTGGTTTTGTTTGGAGGGTTTTATGTTTATTTAGTTTTTCAGGTCTGGGGCTAAAATACTAGAATGAAATTATTCAAATTATCTTTTATCAAGCATAATATATATGTAAAATTAGAATGAATTATTACCTATATACTGGGATAGCATCCAGTTATAGTTCAAACTCAATAGTGGTTTCCAAGGAGAATAAACATGGTGTGAAACCGTTGTCATAACAACTGTTCAAATTCATTGATTTTAATCATATTCACTCTTCCATGCTTTTTCACAAGATTACTTTCAAATTTAAATTTGTCGTTTGTTATGGAATATGGCGCCTTTAGAATCATAGATTCATAATTATTTGTTAATTAAAGGATAATATTTTTAGAATTTAAATGTTATTTGTTACTGTGTGTAAGACAGAACCAAAATGTTTTCTTATTATTTTTTGCCGTGGGGTTTGTATTATCAATCTTTAGTATTTCTACCGAGTAATTTTCTTGAAAGTAATACTGAATTCTCAGTGTTGGAATTAGTCTAGAGAAAATCATACCAAGCTCAAGTAAAGGGGCTGGGAAATGAGACAAATTTTTGCTAATAAAATATATGGTCTTTCAGGAAACCGTAATCATAGGTATTTTTTTTTTTTATTAGTTGGCCTTAAGCTTCAATACTTGCAATATTGTCTAAAATAATGCCAAATATTTATCACTCTATAATTTTGCACGTCAGACATTTTTAGTTGAGGCGCGTTGGATGGCTGAATGATTAGCGTGCGTGCTGTATCATATGGTCTGTCATTCAGTCAAGTAGCGTGGTTTCGATTTCCTGGTTGTACGTGACAAGGAATAGGGTCGCCTGTCCAACCCCATGGGTTTTCTCTGGATTCCTCCCGCTGTTAAAGACCCCTACGTGAAACGAATTATTGAAATAAAATGGAAACATATGTTAGTCCCGAAATAACCTAGTTTGTGTTGAGTGGATGTTAAACCCCATTTCTCGCTCTCTCTTTTCAGTTGGGGTTAAAGAGTCCAGAATTAGGTCACCAGAAGTGGTTGTCCACTTCAGGAAATAAGGTCAATGAGCTTTCATTCTCTTTAATGTATTTCAACTAGAAATATTTCTTGTTATTTAGCGTATAATAAAGACCGTAAACAAAAGTTATTTTAGCAACTAATAAGATCCGCTAAGTTTGTAGGTGACTGAAATATAGTATGAGCACACTCTATCCAAATACTATATCGGGTTTGCCAAATAATTTAAGAGAATTATAATTTTTAAATGTAGAAGTTTATGATAAGATTCAGGCAAGTTTAGTATTGTGGAGTTTTGTAAAGACTGGATGCAAGATTATAATTTTGAAATGTAGATGTTTGTAAGATTCAGGAAGCTGAGCAAGTTTTGTCAAGACTGGATGCAGTTAGCTTTGATATTTAAGCCAAGTGGCTGTAGTTTTATTTAAATGTACATAAATGAGTACCTAGTTAGCAGTTAGCTACATTGTATAAATTTTAAATATTCAACTAGCTAAGGTTCGTTCATCTAGTTACATTGTATAAAGCCTAGGACAGACAAGCATATTTTTCGCCCAATCGCGCCGATGTTTAAAATTGCTCAATGTGGCAGCTTATTTCTTGCCACAAGATGAGTTACTTCCCTTTGCCGATTTCTTTTGTATTTAACAATTTTTTGATTGGTTGATAAAAATAGCACAGTCATCAAGGACAGATAATTTGAATATGTCTCCCTCATGGAGGAACTCCAGGGTATAGTGGAGTGGGGACGGAATGAGACCACTGGGGATCTCAAGGATGAGTTCCTCAGCGAAAGGGTTGAACCTTGCAGCTGCGTATCTACATCTACAAACTTTTTTTTATGGCTCAGTAAATAGGCATGATAATCGGATTAAAATACAGATCTATATTTCGTTTGTTTTTTTATACTTCCGATGGCCTAAACTACATAAAGATCTGACAAGTTGTGCTGGGAGGTCATGTCAGGGGTGATACGAGTGGCTTTTGACCCTATGACATCAGACATTGATTAATCAATCAACGTTGACATCAGACATTGATTAATCAATCAACGTTGACATCAGACATTGATTAATCAATCAACGTTGACGTTTCTAGGGGTTTATCCACAGTTCCGTTAGCTAATTCCTCACATCAACAACAAAATTTTGAACTATAAAAAATAGAATTTGTGTTTTAATCAGATTGTAAGAATGATAAAATTGGTGTCGATGCTTATGGTTCCATGGTCTGCGAACACGATGAGCCAATTAAAGTTGCTATCATATGACTCACACATGCTGAATATGTAAATTAGGTGCCGCCATTACGACAATTTCTTACATAGTACACAAGATAATGGCACCCAAATAGGTTATAAGATTTAAGTAAGTGAAGGACCAATTTAGGGGTGAATATTGCAGTTATGTACCTTCAAATATTTTCATGTACAATATCCATCCTTAATTTAAGGTGATGTATTTCATTTTTTTTTAGTCAAACGGTCCAAACGCTTACGTGGTAACTTTTGTCCATCATCAACCATAAAATCATAAAATAGTGAATCAACTTAGCCTATTTCATTTATTGTACATAATTATCATCTACCTATACAATGTGTTCCTTATCTTTTCTCTCTTTTTTTTTTAGAATATTTTTTGTCTTTTTTAAAATATTTTGTACCGAAAAAAAAAAGATGTTTATTCACTATGCAATAAAAAGCTTGCTATTTAAAACACACTAGCCCAGTATTTCATTGAGTTATATACAGTAATTAAAGATACATTATGTAAGATTTAGATAAAGAGCTGACCACTCAGCTATAGTAAGCTAGCCAGTCTTACTATAATAGTTCCAAAATAGATAATGTAAAGTGAACAATTTGAAAATTTCATTCAAATTACTCTATTGCGACTTGCGAGCGAAGGTGTTAGCCTTTGAAGATTTGACAAGACATGTGCAGTAATTTCAACCACCGTACTGGTTGTTCAAAGCTCCTCCATTTTTAGCTTAAAGCAAAATATGGCTGAACTGTTCTAATCTATTTAATATCGGAGCAATCCGATGCCATCGAGTGTTGATTATGGTCTGGATAGGTTAATAAATGTCTAATTAATAATTTAGAAAACATTTCAGGCCTAAAGAAAGACCTGCAATAGGCAGATTTAGCTCTTGATTAATGTTTAAAGCTGCATATCCCCATTTAAAACACACTAACCATGTGTTTCATCGAGTTATATCATACATTATTTAAATCGGTGTATTCCCATTTAAAAATGAGGGGTTGGATGGCCGAATGGTTAGCACGTGTGCGCTGTATTATAAGGTCTGTCATTGAGTCAAATGGCGTGGTTTCGATTCCCCGGTTGTACATGTCAAGGAGCAGGGTCGTCTGTCAAACCTCATGGGTTTTCTCCGGGTCCTCCGGTTTCCTCCCACCGCTAAAGACCCCTACGCACAAGCGAACTATTGAAATAAAAAATTAACGAAATGAAATGGGGTTTAACGTCCTAATATTTTGCTATGAACTGGGCGAATGAAGATGGGCATACGCCATATTTGCCCGGACAGCGGCACTACGACCTACTCTTATATCGAATTCTAACTGCCAAGGGATCTATTACGTGCACGCCAATGTGTACACGGGACCTCGGTTTTTCGTCTCATCCGAAGGACTAGACAGCTGTCCTTGTCAGGCTCTCCGTCCTGCATCACTGAAAAGGAGGGAACCACGCAGGAAAATCTGGATGAACTTTCTCGGCCAATGCATGGATCAAACACCTGACCTCCAGGCTAGCGAGCCAGCGTCTTACCCACTTAGCCACGTGATACCCCCTGCCCCTCCCATTTAAAATTCTGCACACAGAGAGCTACCAACTTTAAGGAAGGATCTGGTTTAGGTCTAAAACAGGGGTGTCAAATTCATTTCAATTCAGGGGACACATGACCCTAAAGGTGTACATCAAGCGGGCCGAATGACGATATGCAAAAATATCATCATAAAGAAAATATTATTGATTTATTTGGTTAAAATTGTTACATATTATACCCAACATTCTCTTGTAATTACATAAAACTTAGATATCTATGACATACAGTACAGAAGTCAGAGTTTTACTGAAACCGGAAAACAATAAATATAAATGATTTCCACCGCTAGTTTCTAAGAATTATCGACACGTCAGTTTGTTGAAATATGTTCCACAGGCCACATTTAAATCCTTGGCGGCTTGGATCTGGTCCGCTGGCTATATGTTTTACTCTCCCTGATCTAAAAGCTAAGATCCATTGCAGATTTCCTCATAGATCACGGGATGAAATTAGGGTTAGGGCACTGGTTAGCCCTTACCCAAAATCTCATCAAAATCACATGCCCTAACACTATTTACATCTTGTGACCTATGACATCTGCAATGGGCCTTAGCTTCTAATCTTTACCAAGAACTATTTTCTTTGAGAATAGACCTCTGTCCTGAATGGCTTCCATATTGAAAATTATAGTGTACTGATAAATTATGTGGGTGTAATCCGTTTCATACACACGATAATATTTTTAATTTCATTACATATGGAAATCTCAAAATTCTCGAACTATACGTAGTATTTTGACTAAAAATTAAAAGCATTGAAATGGGTATTTAAATGTTGGTCAACTAACTTCCTGTCTGTTTTCAAGCTGAGCTACTTTAATACAGACAGCATAAATTACGAACACGTGCAAGTATGCTAATTACAGTCAAGATTATTTTGGAGTTATAAAAAATATTCTTTTTCAAAAAAGATTCCACACTTTGTAACGTCTTTCACATTTAATTCTTTCTACGAAACTAGCTCATCATTTTTAGTATTCTCAAGTTACAGCAACTGTATCCAAGCAGGAATCGCGATACTTAAGTTACACCAATTGTATCTAAAGTAAAAAAAATTCCACGTCTTTAAGAAGTGGCATTAGATGTTACTGAAAGGCATCTATCACATTTTTGTAGATAGATCTCCATTTCTTTTTTGAAGATAATTGTTGTTGTTTTATAAATACGTATCCAAAAATCATGGTGTGCTCATCCAAAATCATCCATCTTTTTTTACCAATCTATTATACCGGTACCTCGATGCTATACATAAATCCAAATATCCTGGTGTGCTCGTCCATCATTTCACCAATCTGTATTATCTCCCCTTTATTTACCTGTTACACTTCTTTGACTTAATTCATCCTGATTTATAGGACTGTGTAGCTAAAACAAGAAATATAAAATAACAATAATTATTCTATTTCTAACAGAGAGAGAAAGATGGGGTTTAAGGTCCACTTGACACAAACCGGGTCATTTCAGGACTCACATATGGTTTAATTTTATTTCAGTAATCTGCTTGCGCGTAGGGGTCTTTAGCAGTGGGGGGAAACAGGAGGACCCGGAGAAAACCCACGAGGTTGGACATGCGACCCTATTGCTTGTCACGTACATTCGGGGAATCGAAACCATGCCAGCTGACTCAATGGCAGACCTTATGATAGAGCGTGCACATGCTAACCATTCGGCCATCCACCCCCCACCCCCCAAAGTTCAGACTTATAACTGTAATATGTATATTGGGGAAAAATGCAGATGATAATTTAAAATGTAGGAGTCGTGACGAAACCTGGGATTGTATGGATAGGGAGGAAACCTGGGATTACATGGGTAGGGACGAAACCTGGGATTACATGGGTAGGAATGTGATCTGGATCTCTGAGAACCTGACTTGACAATTGTTCAGTTCACATTCGGCAAAACAATGGAACATGGAGAATTAGCTAGGTGTATACTTGGCTTACAATATTTGCGATATCAATCCACTGTAAAGCTTTTGATAGTGTGTCTTCTTTAGATGTAGGTTTATCCAAGTTCCAGTACGTAAATTCATTAAATTTAGATTTTATATCCATCATCCTGTCTTCGTCTTCAGTGGCTGCTTTCCTACTTTCACTTACTACAAGTCCTGTAAAACAAAATGTAATCAATAATTGGAGTTTAATGTACAATCAATAACTAGGTCATTTTGGGACTAACACATCTCTTTTTCAATAAGCTTAACCATGGGACCTTGGGAGCACCTCTAATTAATGAAATGGGATTTAATGTTTATAACCGTGTTAGACCATTTGCACTGTTAATTACTAATTATCGCCACCACCATCCCCAGCTAATTAATTATTTTAGTTGGGAGTATTTGTGAATATTTCTGGGACATGTAGATTTCTGCTTCTCTATTTTTTATTACCATAGGTCAGTCATTGTTTTTTTAGGCGTGCGGCTGCTCGCGAGTGCCCTCTGAGCACCTGACATTGTTTTTTTAGGCGTGCGGCTGCTCGCGAGTGCCCTCTGAGCACCTGACATTGTTTTTTTAGGCGTGCGGCTGCTCGCGAGTGCCCTCTGAGCACCTGAATGTCGACCGAAGTGAGGTTTTTCTCCCTTGCCTTAAAACTGAAAATCGCTCTCCTTATTTGTAAACTAGCAGGATACCCGGCTTCGCTCGGGGGTCATAACTCCGAAACCGGAAGTGGTAGACTAACGCCACCTGGCCTATGTTACTCCCCGGTCCGAGCTACCCCTATACCCCAAATTTCAGACTTGGGGCAGACCTAGTGTAGCCGCCAACCCCGAACAGACAGACAAACGACAGTCACAAATATTAGTATAGATCATGGGCATACTTTATGAATTTGTTTTAAAAAGGATTCACATTTCAGTCGACGCCATGCTGTCATTGTGAAGATTTATTTGGTGTATTCGATTAGTGTATAATGCGATCACACATGGTAATAAAATCCTGATGAATATGTCGCTAAAAATAGATGGCGCTTTTGTATCATTAGTTAATTTAAAGATGGGTTCCCAGAAAAGTATTTATCGGGTGGTTATTTCCAATAAAAGTATGGCAATTTTGGTATATATGGAAAGTAGAGATATCCAATCTTACTAGAAAAATACTGGATTCCCCGAAAAACATTCATGGAGCGTATACAGGATAAAAATGTAAGGGTTCCCGTAATCAACAGCCCGTCGATTAGGAACTTCTGCATGCGTGATGTCAAAGGTCACAAGCGAACATTGAGCGCTTGATGTACAAGTTGATAAACTTTATGAAGAGTTAGACGTACAATACTTTCTGAGTTAAAAATGACGGAAAAAGACGCGGGTAGTGGATAATCCGAGAATTTAATTAGGATTCGATATTTGTAATAAATAGTAAGCGATTAAAGACAACATCGTCTTATGTATGCAATTAATTCTCCTCTGACTCCCAAGACGTGACGTAAACATGACCTGGTTTGATCGAATTTTAATAGCAGGGCATTCCTTCGCAATTACAATGTTTGAGAAGGATTTGAAGCATAATTATGACAAATTAATTAGTTCGAATATGTTTTTGGTCCATATATACCATTAATTCACCAAGTTTGTACGCAGGAACCCATCTTTAACTGAAATGTAAAGTAGAACTCTCGCGAGAAGTAAGAAAATTTTTCATTAAGGGGAGCTTTTTTCGGCTCTCTTCTAAAATACAAAACAACAATGACTGCGTACTTACCTGTATATCCAGAAGGTAAGGCCACCTCTTCACCATTTAAAGGTCGACCATGCATACATCCTGTTATCAAGTCTGAAAATATTAAATATTATTCAATCAAGTCTCGCACAAATAATACTAATTGTAATGAAATGTGGTTTAACATCGAACTGGGCTAATGAAGACGGGCATACGCCATACAGTGTGCTATAACTATAAGGGAAATTTTGCCCGGTTCAGCTGAATGATGTTTGGCGCCATCAGTGCGGATAGAAAAAAACCTGTGGGGAAAAAGCTGCTGCTTGCCTTACGTGGATGACATAAGCCACTCAAGAGCTGTGGATATTGCCTTTAATTCTGCGGTATGGATGGAGCATCCTTGTAGCCTTTTTGATATATTAACATTAAATTCAGGAATAACTACACCACCTTGGCTTCACCAGAATATGTATAACTGTATCAGAATTTACCTTTGGTCGCACAAAGGAAAAAAATTAATTAGTAGATGAGACAGGACAACAAAACATCAATGTGGTGCTACTGTTATACAAACCATGTATCCTGAAGAATTTATCAGTCGAAAAATAGCCCATAACCACCCCATACTGTAATTCAAAGGAAAGAGGTGAGTACTAATTAATCAACTGATTGGATAATCCCTAACTAGGTACTTCACACCCTCTGATCTGATTAGGTAATATAAGATAACATTAACCATTTATTTTTTTATCAATTAAAGGTAAAAGACATGGCCATTTCCAATCCATTCAGACCAGCCAGGGTAATATTTGAAGAAGTAGCAAATAAAATTTTAGAAGAAGATCAGCCAATTTACTTCTGCCACTCCAATCTGCTGTGATGTTTGAGGGGAAACTTCGCAGGTATTTGATAAAAAAAATAGAACAGAAAGACAAGATGAAATTTTCAATTCTTAGAACGAGTGCAAAGTTTGTGGAAGCTGCTAGGGATATGTATCAGAGTTCATGGTCCAGTACTGTAAAGAAGATATACAATGTAATATCTATATCAACTATATGTAATGTTTTTTTTGTTTTTTTTTAAATGTACTAAATTAATGTTTATGTAATGAGTGTGTTTATATTATCTATTATGCAATAAATGTTTTTTTTTTCATGTATTAAATTAATGTTTATGTAATGTATGTATTTATATTATCTATTACGTAATTTTTGTTAATAAATATCATTTCCTACATGTAAAAAATGATTTGTTTTTTTGGGGGGGAGGGGGGCTGTTTCGACTAAAATTTTTAGCCGTTTAGGGCCGTTATGTCTATACTATAACCCCGATTGACACATTCCTCGAGCGTAACATTATTGTTAAAATATATCACCGTATATTGACTTTATTAATCTAAAATAACATTTTGATTTCAAGATTTGAATGTTCAAACAATAGAACGTCAGAAGAGTCACAGTCAGAATGCCCCAGTGGCCGAGTGGGCTCCCTTAAAATTGCGTGCATCTAATCTTATCTAACACACGTTAATGCAAGGTATCATTTGATCCATACCTTCTTCTTTTCTTATTGTTGTTTCAAAATATTTACAAACATTTGCTTCTTCGTTGTGGTGTATTTCACACGGCATTAAATGGCAAGAGATTTCTGGTGCCGTGGAAACGGTCTCTGTGTTTATTTGCACCGCCATTTTCCCGCTATTTTCGTAACCTCGATCAAATGGGTCACAAAAGTGAATCTAATTTTTTTACAAAGTCATAAAGACTGGACAGTCAAACCCAAAATATGACCTTCACCCCTTTTAAGATAACCTTCACCTAAAAATATAAACTTCCGATCGAGTGTGATCTAGATTATCCAGTACTTTGGATTGACAGCAATGACGTCTGTCATTGATTGAAAAGACTGGTTATATGTGTATAAACTTGCCGTGTTGCAATGGCGGAGAAGCGCTACCGTTTTCCACAACGAAAAGGGTTGTCGGGACTTTTCAGAAAATATTCGTCGTTATTTTATGCCTTCACCGCTTGGAATGTTGTTGGTTATGTAATATATAAAAGTATTGACAATTATAAAAGCAGAACAGACGACTCGTGGGATGAGAAAAACTCGAGTATGTTGAAGGTTATGTTATTACAATTACATTCATCTGAATTCTGGTATCAAGACGTTTCGATTACATGCCGTTTCGATCCTGCGTCCTTTCGCCCCCCCCCCCCATTTCGGATATACTTGATAAATGAAAAACAGTTGTTACACTATATGTATATCACATAAATTTTCAACAGTTTTAATTATTCTTTAGAGTCCGAAACGTTGCCCGACTGAGTCCGAAAAATCATCAATGGAAGTCCGAAGCGTCGTCATACTGAGTCTGAAACATCGTCTGTGTTGAGTCCAAAATGACGCAGGATTGAAATGTCGCGCTACTGATGTTTCTGTCTACCTAAACCTAGCGACCTTTCGGACTCCACACCAAGGAGGGGATCACATGGCTAAGACGCTGGCTCGCTAGCCTGGAGGTCGGGTGTTCGATCCCTGCATTAGCCGAGAAAGTTCATCCCGTTTTTCCGGCGTGGTTTCCCCATGTCAGTGATGCAGGACGGAGGACCGGACAAGGACAGCTGTCTAGTCGTTCGGATGGGACAAAAAAACAAGGTCCCATGTACACATTGGCGTGCACGTAAAAGATCCCTTGGAAGTTGGAATTCGATATAAGAGTAGGCCGTAGCGGCGCTGCCCGGGCAAAATTTCCCTCATAGCACACTGTATGGCGTATGCCCGTCTTTATTAGCCCAGGTTAGGAGCAGAACAGTAGGACGTTAAATCCCATTTCATTTCATTTCCACACCAAGGACGGTTTTGGACTTATATAATAGCAGTTCGAACTTTATTCGGTTTTCGACAATAATGAATGATGGATAAATCATAAAAAACATTGTGATTACATGTCATGTATATCAGATATACAAAATTATGACAGATACAAATAAACACATAGGCCTACAGTTTACATGTATAAAAAAAACATTCTTGTCTGAGTCGTCACCTACCCCAATCCGAAACGTCAAGGACATATTTTTTATGATGTCATTAGTCCAAAATGTCGCAGGACTTAAATGCCATTACTGATGTAATCGGACATCTCAGACTGAATCCATTCATGAAAACTCTTAGGATAGATTTCAAACGAAACGTCCGAGACGATCTTTCCACTGTGCTGGATACTGTCAAGCCCAATAATTGAAAGGCATGTAATTTTTGCCAGGCCCCGAGCTAACAAAGCATTCTTAGACTTAAGTTAAGAATTTACTCAAAATTTTTTGCCTTATTTTAACTAAACTATAGCCCTTTATAAAACTTTTGTTGTTTCAATATATCAAATACATTACTAAGAAACTATGTGCAGAGATTTGTGTTTCTGGATCAAAGATATTTCTCATAAACAGTAATTGAAAGTTGAGTAAATTTTTAACTTAAAGTAGCTAAGTCTCTCACTCAATATCATCAAAAATCTTCGAAACTGAAAACACAAATTTTTTGGTTAATTCAAATCAACATTGGTGTTGTGATCTTACAGGGAAAAGATGGGCTTCTGATATCTATTATTCAAGACAAAATAAACATTTTACCATTGGTACACGAATTGTGTACCATAATGCGCGTCATCGCCATTTGGAACAAGGGACTCAAAGAACGAGGCTAGACATATTCCACAAGTCATGTCAAATGGTGTCGACATATTCTTATCTGGAGAGCATGCGCAATAAATACCAGCGGTGTAGACTGGAATAATCAGACGCTAAAGATTGCCATTCAATTGAGACTTTGGCGCATTTCACCGAACATAACTGATTTGAAATTACAGTAAAAACAGAAACGACTGAATGTAAATTAGTTCATATACATTCATATTACATTGCCCATTTGTGTCAATTTCTAGGTCCCAAATATTAGGGATTTAGCTCCTTTAAGTCTGAAAATGCTTTGTGAACTCGGGGTCTGATCTTTAATCTAATGATATACGTGTCTTTATCACTTGACGTAAATCGTTACTTGACCTTAAATGGAAGAGTGCGTTAAATAACCGAGCTGAAGAGGCTGATGGGAGGAATCATATAACTTTCATCACACCTCTGTCACTCGGATGAAAATGAAATGGGGTTTAACTTCCTACTGTTCTACACTGACTGGGCTAGTGAAGACGGGCATACGCCATACAGTGCTATGAGTGAAATTTTGCATAGTCATTTGCGCTACGGCCTACTCTTATATCAATTTCCAACTGTCAAGGTTTCTTTTACATGCACGCCAATGCGTACATGGGACCTCTGTGTTTCATCCCTTCCGAACGACTATACATGTCCCTTGCTAGACCCTCTGTCCTGCACCATGAAGTCAGATGTCATTACCGTGATTGAACATGGAATCTCCAGGTTAGCGAGCCAACGTTTTACGAAAACCGCAGCTATCCTGTAACTTAGACAAGCGCTTTAGCGTCAGTAACTGTATATAGCTCCCCTGTAACTTAGACAAGCGCTATAACGTCAGTATCTATATATAATAAGAGCGTTTTATGAGCTTATGTATTAAAAGTATCAATAATAGCCAAAATTTGTGCCTGAAAAAATGAGACGGAGCCTACCAAATTGGTTGTGTCTGACAAAGCCTGAATTTGGTCGGAAGCCACAGAGGTTCAGTAAGTAGGGGTCGGGAGCCACAGTGGTTCAGTAAGTAGGATGATGGTCCTGTGTACACATTGGCGTGCACCTAAAAAATCCCTTGACAGTCGGAATCAAAATAAGAGTAGGCTATTTCACCGCGGTACGGGCAAAATTTCCCTCGTAGCACACAGCATGGCGCATGCCCATCTTCATTAGCCCAGTCTGAGTACAACAGTAGGATATTAAACCCCATTTCATTTCTGAATTTGGTTCAGACAATATCTGTGGCCGGTGTCTTATTTTCTTGCTTTCTTAAACATGTAATCAGAGATTTAAAGTAATTATATAATTTCAGCGGAAAAATACCTGAGTCAGCTAAATTTTGGTGTAGACCGATCTAATATGGAGAGAATAAAGATTAAAGGTTTTACTATTCAAAGTCGACAGACTGAAGGAAAGGAAAAGAGTGAAGAATTATAATTTATTATAGCTGACTTGTTAGTTTTACTACAGGTTTGTTTGCCATACAAGGCCTACATCTATGTTATAGAAATGAAATGAAATGTGTGAACATAAGGTACAATTTTATGGATATACAATTACTGAGTTTTATACTAAGCTAGTACTATTTTATGGATACACAATTACTGAGTTTTATACTAAGCTAGTACAATTTTATGGATACACAATTACTCAGTTTAATACTAAGCTAGCATTAAACTCAGTAATTGTGTATCCAAAAAATTGTACCTTGTGTTAATATGTTCAATTACTAAATGCCAATCAAAGAAGAAATGAAATGAGGTTTAGCATTCTTCTCTTCTATTCTGACTGGGCTAATGAAGATGGGCATACACTATAGGCTGCTATGAGGGAAATTTTTCCCTGGCAGCAGCACTACAGCCTATTCTTATATCGAATTCCAACTGCTAAAAGAATTTTTACGTGCACGTCAATGTGTACACAGAACCCTGTTTTATTCATCTCATCCTTGTCAGGCCCTCCGTCCTGCACCACTGACAAGGGGGAACCACATCGGAAAATCCTAATGAACTTTCTTGGCCAATGCAGGGATTGAACACACAACCTCCAAGCTAGCGAGCCAGTGACTTACCCTCCTAGCCACCCGGTTAATCGAGTGGAAGAGATGGTCTTGCCGTGCAAGTAAAAGTGTCTAGTTTTTCAGATGAGATGGAAATTTCTTGCTTATCACAATTAAATAGGGGGGGGGGGGGTGGATGGCCGAATGGTTAGCATGTGCGTGCTGTATCATAATGTCTGTCATTGAGTCAACTGACGTGGTTTCGAATCCCTGGTTGTACGTGACAAGGAGTAGGGTCACCTGTCCAACCCTCGTGGGTTTTCTCTGGGTCTTCCCACTGCTAAAGACCCCTATGCACAAGTGAATTATTGAAATAAAATTGAACTATGTGTTAGTCCCGAAATGACCTAGTTTGTGTTGAGTGGACATTAACCCCATCTCTCTCTCTCTCTCTTTCTCTGAATTAAATAAATAGGTCTAATATTAGCATGCTGTCAAAATTTGAACGAGAAAGGGCTGTTTGATCTATTTCTACGTGGTTTTTTTATTTCAGATGTGTGATGAATGGTTGAAATATAGTTCATTGATGAAATACAAATGTGTGATTGGTTGAAATACAGTACATTGATGAAACATGAATGTGTGATTGGTTGAAATATACTTCATTGATGAAACATGACTGTGTGATTGGTTGAATTGATGAAATATGAATGGTTGTGTTATTCCTGGAACACCAATAGCGGTCGATTCGTGGAAGATCCGAGAATGTGGCGAAGCAAAACTTTTTTTCTTGACACATCTCCATGGAGATCATGTTGTGGGACTTACATCTTCATGGAACAAACCAATATACTGTTCGGAAATAACGTCCAAGATTCTCACCAGTCGCTACGAAATAAAACCCGATCTCGTCAATTCTTTATCTGAAAATGAAAGTCATCTAATTCCTATTAATACAAGTTGTGATGATCAGGAATATGTGACCGTGACAGTCGTTGATGCGAAACATTGTCCCGGAGCAGTAATGTTCTTATTTGAAGGACATTTTGGTAAAATTCTCCACACGGGTGACTTTCGATTCAGTGAGTCGATGATTGAGGATTCCCTGTTAAAGAATCATCTTGGATCCATCGATGTTTTGTATCTCGATAATACATATTGTCATCCTAGCTGCGTGTTTCCGTCCAGAGATCAAGTTACGCAATCAATTATAGCCTTAGTAAACACTTATAAAGATTATGACGTGGTGTTTGGTTTGAGGAATCTTGGGAAAGAAGAAATGCTGGTTAAAGTTGCTCTCGCTTGTAAGGAATGGATCTCTATACCGTCTTCCATGATGGAGGTTGCCAGGATTTTAAATCTCCCAGATGTGTTTGTAGTTTCTGATAATCCAATGTCGTGTCGATTGCGTGTGCTTCCATTCACATCCATATCCGCAAAGTTTGTAGCCAAGATGAATTTAACGAAGCCAACTATAGCCATTTTACCCACTGCTCTGTATACGGGGTTAAATGTGAACGTAGAACCGTTTGGTAAAAGTGAACATGTATTTGTAGTTCCATATTCTGATCATAGTTCCTACGCAGAACTCCTTCAATTTGTTTCATGCGTTAAACCATCAAGAGTTGTGCCAATTGTAAGATCAGACACACATGGTCCCTATGGTGCCGATTTTAGCGCCAGGGCAGATATGAGCTGCTTTGACCATCTGCTTAAAATCAAATCTACACCAGAGAGAGCGACGAAATACAGAAAACTGCAAAATGGCTCCAAGGCTAAAATAAGATTATTCAAAGAGAATGATGGTTTTGATATCCGGACAGATCATAAATCAAAGACTAAAAGATTTAAGAGAATTGTGCGCAGGGGACTATCTAAAGTTTCGAGGAAAGGGGTTACATACGATTCTGACGTTAGTGAGGTGGCTGAAAAATCCAATTCACCACCCGGCCATTTTGGAGATAGAGAAACGGAAAGAGACTCAAATCAAAAATCCAATGGAGAAATTCCTAAATCTGATAGTCATCTTGCAGAAATAAACACTAACGACAATGTTTCTTGCGAGACCACACAGGAAATTTCTCCTGGCCATTTCGTAGATAAAACTACCCAAAACATGAATCAAAAATCCCTAGGAGAAATTCTGAAACCTGATGATCATGTTCTAGAATTAAACACCAAAGATGATTGTTTTTCTCTGACAACAAAAGAAAGTTTAGGCACAAATTCAGTGAATGACACAAACCATGTTTGTCATGTAGAAATAAACACTAAGAATAATGTTTTTTGCCAGACAACACGTGAAAGTTTAGCCACAAATTCAGTTAAGGATGTAGAAAACGATCAAATCAAAGAAATAGACAATGAACATACAAATTTCCAATCAGAAAAACAAAGATCTTATATTTCTGACAATGAGGTTGATTTTCAACCTATTAAAAGGAATTTATCGAAATGTTCTGAACCAAATGTTGTAATTAGTGCTGACGATGATATCAGTGTAATTGAGCCAGATGTTTTTGAGGGTGACAGTTGTCAAACGAAAAGCTGTCCACAATTAAATGGTACTCTGGTATCGGATAAACATATCTTGTCCGTTAAAAAATATTCCAATGAAAATCGAAGTAAAAAAAGAAAGCGTTTTTATTCTGTTTTAGATGAATATCTCAAGTTGTGATCCAGTTTGTAAATGTAGTCTCTGTTAGAGGGTCATCTTCGGTATCCCCAGTGGTATCATTCTTCGTCACTAACCTTTTGCTCCATCCACAGGGTTTACATGAATTCATAATATCTACCCTTGATTGCAGTTTTATTCTACAAACCAATCAGAAAACAGTTTACATACCAGTCTTGGGGTCTGTGTTTACGTTCACCACAATTAGTTGGAATATAATGTGAGTTACTTCCCTTCGCCCACTCGATTGGTTGATAAAATTAGGAGAAGTATCAAGGGTGGATACATTGTAATTTGACCATGTGTCTCCCCCGTGGATGGACCTAGAGGTTAGTGGAGTAGAATGGACACGATATCACTGGGGATACCAAGAATGCTGTCATGGGTGACTTATTTACAGGCTTGATGTCAACCCAGGATAAAAAGAAGACATCATTATTTGGTGATTGGTGGGGAGTAGGGTGGCGGTATGGTTAGACTGCGCGGTATGGTTAGACTGCGCGTGTTGTATCAGAAGGTCTGTCATTGAGTCAACTGGCATTGTTTCAATTAGCACTAGGGTCGCCAGTCCAACCTCGTGGGTTTTTTCTAGGTCCTCCAGTTTCCTCCCACTGCTAAAGACCCCTATGCGCAAGCGAATTATGGAAATAAAATTGAACCATGTGTTAGTCCCGAAATGACCTAGTTTGTGTCAAGTGGACGTTAAACCCCATTTCTCTCTCTATCTTTCTATTTGTTGATTTGTTTACCTTTTAAAAACAATTATGATGATATATTTCCGATTTCTGTATAGGATGTTATGATTTGCTTAAAAATGACTTGAGAAACTTTTGATGATTTATTGATTTGTATAGAGCTCATGAATTAAATAAAAAAAAAAAAAACATCAACCAATTCATCTAGTTAGAAAACATGTGTTAGTATTATCTTTCTTCTGTGGACAGGGGTTTTCCGACATGCTTTCCCCCTTGTCAGCAATCTGAACGACAGACTCACCTGCAGAGAAGTACCATTTAATTTTCGTACGTTAGTTACGTACGCCTTGTCAGTGGTGTAGGACGGAGGACCTGACGAGGAAAGCTGTCTAGTCATCGGATGAGACGGAAAACCGAGGTCCCGTATTGGCAGTTGGAATTCGATATAAGAGTAGGCCGTAGTGCTGCTGTCCGGGCAAAGTTCCCCACATAGCACACTGTATGGTGTATGCCCATCTTCATTAGCCTGGTCAGGAGCAGAACGGTAGGACATTAAAACCCATTTCATTTCATTTCTGTCGACATGGGAGGGGGTGGATGGCGAATGGTTAATGAATGCACATTGCATCATAAAGTCTGTCATTGAGTAAAGTGGCATGGTTACGATTCCCAGCTTGTACATGACGAGGAGTATGGTCGCCTGTCCAACCTTGTGGGCTTTCTCTGGGTCCTCCGGTTTCCACCCACAGCTAATTAAAGACCCCCATACGCAAGCCCAGTCGGAGCAGAAAAGTAGGACGTTAAACCCCATTTCATTTCATTTCCCATACGCAAGCGAATTAATGAAATAAATTTAAACCATGTTATTCCCAAAATGTCGTAGTCGTGTCTAGTGGACGTTAAACGGTTAAAACCCCATTTCTCTCTGAGTGGTCATTGGCTGAGTCTGTAATTGCATTTGGCTGTTAAACACCTTTCCCATTCAGTTATGCTAAAGTTGCCATATAAGTACCCATTCTGCACACAGAGGATTTTTATTATTTTTTATTATTAGTTTATAATGATTCCCCGCCCCCCACCCCCACGAAGCCTTACTAGACAAAAATAACCATAAAACCACAGTAAGATCAGATACTCTCTTTTCTCTAGCTTTCTTTTTCAGGTGCTGGATTCTTCCTGCAGAGAACCAACAATAAAAGGAATGAATAACAGAAATAAAGATGTAACAACGCCACCATACCGGACAACATACCCAAATGGAAGGAAGAATGGACCAGGACTCAAACTCACCAACAAAGCCCCAAGGTAGAGTTGCACCGCCCTGCCATTCTACCGGACAGAACGACCAGACCAACCCAAACGACCCAAAATATATATATATGTACATAATATGTCTATGTCTGTGAAAATGTCCGTCTTTGTCCATGTCTGTTCCGTCAAATCGCATGCTTGTAAACGTCTACTGGCACCTGTTTCGTCCTATGCACATGTTATCCTACTGTTGTTTATTGTCCTATGTACATATATATGAAAACCTAATTATCCTATTATTTCTCATTAATCACATTGTAAAATAATGCACCTTGTACACATAACACGTCATTGTCTGCGATATCACCTCGGTGGAAGCGGACGTAAAATACAACTAACTCATCATCACAGAGGATAGATCTCTGCCCTAAATGGCCACCATATCCAGCAATTAGTATACTGTTTCGCAATGCGGTTCTACTCCGTTTCACATGTCATTCACACAAAGACTAAATAACTCTTTCAATTATTTTATTAATACGCTGAATAAACACTTTTCAAAATTCTCGAAACATACTTAGTGTTTCCGACGAAAATCGTTGATTACAGGGACAATAACACTCTTGCTGGCTTGACAGCTCCAGAAAATAAAAAATAGCCTTATTCTGAGTACTAGATGTGTTAGTGTCCTACCTGTTGTGTAAATTATTCATTAAATCCTATTTTACTTGTCCAGAGGGTTCAAAAATATTTTTAAATCCAAGTCACATTTGAAAAGCTTTACGTCAGGCTTTTCAAATCATTTAGTTGAATTTTTCCAATTTTTTAAATTAGGTGTGTTAAGATGAAATTTGTATCATCAATTAATTGGAATATTGTAAAATAGTACAATTTGTTGACCAGAATAAAGATTGGGACATATTATTCAGTTACAACAAGAGTGGTATTGAGGCTTTAAGGACTTAAAATGACGACCATCCGGCTTAGTGTCTGTTTTCAAGCGGAGCTAACCGTAGACATGTCCTGGAACATCAACGTTCCACCGAGAAATCCAGTTACCTATGGTCTCCAGTAAATGCATGTCATAAGCACCTAAAAATCTTCTGAGACTTCAGCGGAATCATGCATGAAATTGTCAAAAACAATAATTTTAGATGGCTGTTTTAACCGGTAGATATGTTCTATTACACGAGAGCCGTTGCCCCAGCGAATTATCGAACTTTCAGATGTTTGCAATGGAAAGTGTGGACGGCCCAATCTATGACAGAAACTAAATTTTCATAATAGTATAAACGAATTATCTTAGGTTTATAACGTTACGGATATTAATACGTAAAAAGTGTTTAAATGGAGAATCCAAAGCAATCCAATCGTAGCAACAACAACAACAACAACAACAAAAAACAAAAAACAAAAAAAAAACAAAAAAAAAAAACAACGCATCAGTACATCTCAACGTTTTAACGACGTTCTCGTAGCTAAAGCCCAGATAACTTAGACGTAAAACTTATTCCGTTTTAAAATTAAATGTCGGCATTTTACGCTTCGGTTTCAAAGCGATGATTTATACGCGTGTCAGGTAGGATTATATCCTAAAAGTTACAATTTCATATTTTCTAAGAAAGTCAAAACATAATTATTCCTATGTCTTTTAATCAATAGGTTGTCAACTCACTATACGATCATAGGTTATCTTTCTCACACTTAAAAATCTTCACACCGGAAATAATGACACACTTATCTCCCTTGTTTTCCTATTCCCCACCACGGAATAGCTATCTTCAAACGTTTGAATTTGAAAACGATATTTTTGCCAATTTCTCAACTGGCAATAGTGAATTATAGGATTAATAGGATTATAGTTTAACAAGGTAGGACTGTTTATAGATATCATCTATTTAAGGGCTGTATTTTAATACATTTTAAAAATATAACTTATTAAAAATATGAAATTGTAACTTTAAAGATACATTGTGTAAGATTTAGATAAAAAGCTGCCCGTTCTTGCTATAATAATTCAAAAATAAATAATCCAAAATGAATATATTGAAAATGTCATTCAAATTACTTTAATCTGAGCAAAGATATTAGCCTTTGAAGATTTGACAAGGTGTGTGCACTAATTGTAACCACCGTACTGGTTGTTAGAAGCTTAGCCTCGCTTCACCATTGATTTGACAAGGTGTGTGCACTAATTGTAACCACCGTACTGGTTGTTAGAAGCTTAGCCCCGCTTCACCATTTTTAGATTAAATTATTAAATGTCTGAACCGTTTTAATCTACTTTAAATCGGACCTATTCGATGGCATGGACATTTAATTGTGGTCGTTTCATGCTAATAAATGTGTAATTAATATTTTAGATAATATTTCAGGCCTCAAGAAAGGCCTGCAATAGGCAGATTGAGCTCTTACATAATGTATGTTTAAGTGTACATAGTTGGATGTGACAGAAATGTAACAAATAGAAATAATCAATCGTTGTTTTAAAGACATGAATTGGCAGTCTGATTATTGAAGTACTATATGACTCCCATCTGCAGGTGAACCTATAGATACTACCATCTCGAGACACGCAGGACCGGGATATAGGAAATGAAATGAAATGGGGTTTAACGCCCTACTGTTCTGCTCCTATACTGGGCTAATGAAGACGGGAATACGCCATACAGTGTGCTATGAGGGAAATTTTGCCCTGGCAGCGGCACTATCGCCTACTCTTATATCGAATTCCAACTGCCAAGGGATCTTTTACGTGCACGCCAATGTGTACACGGGACCTCGATTTTTGGTCCCATCCGAATACCAAGAATACATTCTAACCGCTCTGTGGATAATTGGACTGCTAATTTCTGGTGAGTCCTGAAATTCATACTTGAGAATTTTGTAAATTTCGTGTCCACTGTTCTGCTCCTATACTGGGCTAATGAAGACGGGAATACGCCATACAGTGTGCTATGAGGGAAATTTTGCCCTGGCAGCGGCACTATCGCCTACTCTTATATCGAATTCCAACTGCCAAGGGATCTTTTACGTGCACGCCAATGTGTACACGGGACCTCGATTTTTGGTCCCATCCGAATACCAAGAATACATTCTAACCGCTCTGTGGATAATTGGACTGCTAATTTCTGGTGAGTCCTGAAATTCATACTTGAGAATTTTGTAAATTTCGTGTCCACTGTAATCTAGTTTTCATCTTTTTACTAGTAACCTTGAATGTACCGATATCCAATTGACATGTTGATAACTCACTTCCGTTACTCTACATCTAGCCTTGGCTGTATGATGGTAAGTGATATGTACCTACACCTATATAATTGCGATGCAGCACCTGTTTACTTATTAGGAACACTTGCCGCTTTTAAAAAGAAGTTATTAAAATTGCATCGTTCGAAGCGTGTGTAGAATTTTCAGTGCAAATTTGTCCTTGTTTGAAGAAACTCGGATAAAATTGAAAGAAAAATAGCTCCAGACTTTGAAATATTTGTATGATAGAACATTCTTTAAAGGCGTCGTCTCGTCATGGGCAACGTCGTTGGTAATCCGGGAACTTGAAAGTAGTTCCAATGGCTGACTTGGTCATACAGCCGAGGCTAGATGTAGGGTACTAGAATCTGCTGAGGTTTGTCGAGTGTGATTAACTTAGTGTGTTAGTGTGTTCGGGGTTGGGTGGGGGTTGGATGGCCAAATGGTTAGCATGTGCGCGCTGTATCATAAGGTCTGTCATTAAGTCAACTGGCAAGGTTTCGATTCCCCTGTTGTACGTAACAAGGAGTAGGGTCGTCTGTCCAACCTCCTGTCTTTTCAAAACTGTGGCGCGAGGGCCTGACAAGTGCAGCTGTCTAGTCGTTCGGATCGGACGAAAAACCGAGGTCCCGGAAGTTGGAATTCGATATTATAGTAGGTTCTAGTGCCTCATAGCACACTGTATGGCATATGCCTGTCTTCATT